TGTTCACAAAGTTTGATGGCGTAGCACTGCTGTTGATTTTATTAGAAAACATATAGAAAGGAAATTAAATATGGCAAATTAAGCGTAAAAACCAATGCAACAATTTTACGTAAAAAATCCTGCTCGCATGAACTCCTTACATAAAACCTCGTTCAACTGCAATAAATCAGTGCAATAATTAAGCTCCAAGCAGAACACATGACAATAAATGCAAGCACCGCGATCTATCCTCATCGATGTCCTTATTAAGCACCGCGAGCTATATCCTTATCGATGTCCTTATCAAGCACCGATAGTTATCCTTATCAATGATACACAAAGGCAAAGCTCCACGAAACTATGATGAAAGTGTGCGATAGTAAAGGAATTTCCCTGTCGAAGGCTGCGAAGTGCTTATCTAAATCACCTCAGACAATGCGACGAATTTAAACTGAAATTGTCTCGAAAAGATAAAAAAAATATACTAGTCTAAATCCTACGCTTAGTTTTCAATTCTCTTCAACGTGAACGTGATGTTGTTAATTATATCAGTAAGGCAAGAAACGCACATTTTAAATTACTGCCAGTAGCTCCGCAATTGTTTTTATCTTTCAGACACATTCCTTTGTGCTAAAAAAATTGGTGCTACCAAAATGACTCTGAAATACTTATGAACTTGTACATTCGACTCGAAAGAAGCAGCTTTCACGGTAAGATAGAGGCTGAGCTCAGGGACTACTGCAGCGTGCAGGCTAATATTAATATGCAATACACCAGCAAGGCCCTCGCCAGCTCCCTAGCCAAGCTGCACCACATAAAATTATGCATGTCATGCCAGGAACTGCGATAACATTTTCAATTTTAACTTTCCGGCCGGATGCTGCGATAATATCGGTTAAGGCAGCCTGCCTCACAGAGGCAGCGACGAGGATGGTTTATCGGCGGACGATAGGGCGATGCCGTACATTAGCAACTGATTTGCACCGAGAGTGGCGTTTTGGCAACCTTGATCAGGAGGTCAGAAAAAAATTATGAGCGAAATATTACCAAGCTCAAAAGTCCTCGCCGAGACCATCTTGCTCTCCCTTAAACAGAGATGTGATAGAGCAATAATAATATTGAGAAAAACAACAGCCTGGCAGGGTCAGAATGCGACGTTGTTATTTGGCGCTGCCACGTGGGTTGTGCGGCAGAGAGCACAGCCTAACAGAAATGCAGGTCTTACATTTCTTAGAGGGTTTTGAGATAGAAAGATGGGTACAAGTTGGGAGCGGAGGAGGGATCCTTTATCTAGTTCATGTGATATAATTTCTTTGGGCCAGTTTCTGGTGCCAGTTACGATTTTTACACCACGTCATTATTATTTTAATTCCTTGATAAAAATAGAATCGGAAGAATAGAATTTTTTCCTCGTTTCAACAATTCTATGAACAGACGTTTACGCTGAACTTCGCTTATATTTGCAGAATGAATCAATAAGTTTTGAATGTAAAAATGTTTAATCTGATTGTGCAGAAAACCTATTCCAAGGTTTCTAGGTGGCTATATATAATCTGGTTCAGAAGTGGACTTCTGTGCATTTCTACATAAAAAAGGACGCTTTCGTTTGAAGCTGCAGTGATAATGAACCACACAAAATAAGATTTTATGAAATGAGAACAGGGATTGTGTTCTGAAACGAGAAAGGTAAAAGAACGTATAAGATGAAATGTCACGAAGTATATGCACAATTGATGCAATAAATAAGTATCATTTATGTGAGTATTAAAATCGTTGTGGCTTTACGGGTGTTCGAGCGTTTTGGCCGGACTCTGTAAATACATAATCAAATAATGGATGTTTATAGAAGTTGTGATACCAAAATAGTGAGCAGTGATTCTCGGCCGACTTCGAGAGAATATTGCGGTTATAAGTTAGGCGTAGGAGCTGCGGGAGCTATGATAATCTCAACATACACAATGAAGAAGGATAGTTGCCCCCAGTATTGATATACTGTGTACTTACTGTACTAGATGAACAAGGCGACAGCGGATTCTCCACATTGCTGTGCAGAGCTATCCAGCTCTATTGGTAAATAACCACAATATACTAGTCGCATATCAATGTAGCCTGGATCTGGAATTGTGTTCTTTGTAGTGGAATCATGTAGTAATTCAATACAAGAGTTGGATAAAGCATAAAAATCAATTTGACTTTTAGATTAATTAATTTTAATTTCATTCGTAAATACAAAATTCAGTTTATTCAAACTTCTAAACAAGAATTAAATGGAGGTTCCTGGTTAAATGCGGGTCTAAACTGGTCTCTCAGTGAACAATATTACTCGATCGAAAATAATAGTCGGGTTTCAGCGTATCTGGTCATCTCGTGGAATTGCAATAAATCCGAAACAAAGTATAGTTAGGGTGCCAGCGGTAAATAAAAACAACACTGGTAAAATAAACAAAGAACTATTGATAGATATCGTACAGACAAGCTAGTGTGCAAGAGTAATCAATTTTCAGGTGAGTTTCAATCGTCAAGTGAGTTTCAATTGCAGCAGAAAATAATAAATGTATATATATGTAAACCTAACTGAATCATCGGCAAATATGGCAATCAGTGCTCAGAAGGAACAATGAGTACTGGCAAATTCTAGCTCGTATCTGGTTAATTAATGTAAACAATTCTCCTCTTAGATCAACCATGCAAAAATTAAAATCACCGAAACACAACCGATGCAAAAATCCATGCAGTAATGGCACTTAAGTTATAACTAAAGCGATAGTAACGCACTATAATACAGAAGTTTCAATAAGTCATGTCTCCATCCCAAAAATGTTGCAAACTACAATCGTGACGTTACCGGCAATAAGTTTCCCAATCGAGAACGTCGATTGGGCTCCATGGAGTGCGAAAGTAAAGACCGTCCAAGGTAAGTAGACAGGGCCTGGCCCAGGAGTTATGTGATGATCACAGTAACTGAGTTAGACAGCAGGCTGTGATAAATCGGCCAACTGCAACACGCGAACGCTCCTGGATATTTATAGGGCCATAAAAATTGGAATTGACGCCTAACGACCCTAGGATAGGGGTGATTACAGCCTGATCTTAGGAGCCGTTGTACAGAAACGTCTATCAATTTACCGGTCGTAGCAGTTTATAAGAGGATAAAAGCCTTATTGGTACTTGACGATCGAGGTCAACGGAGTTTGTGCGGGATCGAGAATGGATTAAATACGGTGTTGTCTGAATAGTTCATGTACTCTGTTGTCTGAACGCATCATATACGCTATTTTCCGAATCGTGTTGCCTTAATGGTTCAACACGGTATTGTCTGAATTAATCATATACTCTTTTGTCTGATTGGATCAGGTACTGTGTTGTGTGAATGGATCATATAAGCTGTTGTCTGAATGGATCGCATACGGTGTCGTTTCAATGGATCAAATTCAGGGTTGTCAGCATGGATCAGGTACTATATATAATAGTTGTCTGAATGTATCAAACACGGTGTTGTCTGCATGGATCGAAAACGGAGCTATCTGAATAGATAATATCCTGGGTTTTCTGATCGAGTCAAATTCGGTGTTGTCTGAATAGATCAAATTCGGTGTTGTCTGAATCGTAGCTAAACCTGCAAACTAACTCATCGTTGTCGTCAGGCAAGGACTTAATTACCTCACACAGAAACAATATGAGGCAATTTGAAGGCAAAAACTCGTGCATCAGAATCTCATTCCTGAATAGTAAATACAATCCACTTCTATTCATAAATGGACATCCTTGTACAAGTTTTGTTGGGAATAGATAAACGCATCTCTCGTCAAGTCGAGCGCCCCCTAAGTTATTGCTCCAGAGAGCAGTAATGTTGAATATTGAGGAAGTTTGATCGTAACTTGGAAACTTGATGAGGTCGGAGCCATCATGAAGTGCGCTACAGCGTGAACATGGCCGGTATCGAGTGCCTGTCAGTCGCGTGTTATAAAATATTTGGCTGATCACTTGCCCTCTAGAATGTTTCGGTGGGACAAACACATACTTGATCAAACACACGCAGAAAGACACATCCTTAATCTTGCAAAATGTCTTCAAAAACCAAATGAGTGAGCTGAGGGCTGTGAACTTAACAGAAAAACTAGAACTATAATAAGCATGGAGAAGGCCGTAACTAAATTTACACGCAACATAACGATTGATCATAAACGACTACAACCCGATTTAACCCGCACATATTAGTACCGCGATGGACAAGTTATCCATCACCCCAGCCCATCTGTGTAATGAGCGAGATAAGAAGTGATGACAAGCATGAAGCAGAATAATGTAGTTGTAATGAGGCTGGGAAGAAGGGCGCCGAGTTCTATCCTCTTTAAGGCGGAAACGTCGCGGCAACTGTGCCGGCCGGAACAGCTGGCATGCTGCGTGTCTGACCTTCACGACCCAACAATCAAATTAAAATTTAATTAATAACATTGCTAGGTTGTGAAGACTGCACAGGTTGTCTTCAGATACATGTGCAATGAGGTAAAGGAACACACTTGATGTCTAAAATAACGGTGAAGGCCGAGGGAAGAACTCTGAACGCTGGTCAAGTAATTAAGAGTGACACATATGAGCCTTATTAGCGTCAGTAGCCCGCATGGGAAGAAGTGAGTAATGCAAAACCTGACAATCCATAAGGTAGAGCAAATGCTAAACTTCATACGGAAAGCAGCAACAACGGTTAACTCTCTGCTCTCAAATCTCGCAATTTTGAAGAGGGAGTAAAAATTAAGAGAACCAATAACTTTCCGTAGTTATGCATTGGTTATTAGGTTTTTGAATCATTAGCTTGGTTTTTGCCACGACCTTGGCTAGACCATTTTAGCACAAATATTTTGCAATAAAACGAGCTCATAATTTAATTTGTTTGCCACTTTTGTTTAACCGGAAAACTGCAAGTTTCACTTCATGGCAGAAAAAAATGTTAATACAAATGCACAAATTTTAATACAGAAGTTATTAGAAACTAAATAATGAAGATAAATTGTCGTACTCACTCTGGTGATGAGGGCGAGGGTGTGTGCGGTGCGCATGGGGTCCTCGGGCTGGACGGGGGGCTCTCGTTTAGGGAGGGGGACGGTGAGGGGTAAGGGAGTACCAGCAACTTCTTGCATGCGCAGCAGAAGGGCGATCTTCTCCCTCCTCTTGATGTTCTCCATGATCTGGGCGTGAAGCACCTCTTTAGGCACATGATCGCGTACGTGGTAACCTCTGCTTCTGATGATAGACGCGAGTTGCTCGTATCCCCCGAGGATGGTCGTCTCCCCTTCCTCATCCTCCGGCACAACAGCGAGCTGTTTGCGGACAGTGTCGCCGGTGGCGTCGTCTTTCTTGGTGCTTGAAACTTTGCTTTTGAGTCGGGGATCGTTGCTGGACTTGGTTCGGTCGTTGTTGAAATCCTGTTGGCTTTCGTCCTCCACTTGGCCCCGACGCTTACGAGCAAAAATTCGTCGCATTTCGCAAGGCCGGCAGACGGAAGAGTGAAGGCTGCACTTGCCCTCTCAGCCCGCAGGCAGAAGCAACATCGTGCCAAGGGCGGTCGCTGCTCTATGTTTCCAAACTTTGATGTTCACTGCCAGTATAGAACGCATCTAACGAGATTCCCTCAGGCCACCTCAACAATTTCGCTAAAACAGAGGTCGGGTTTACTAAATTTAAAGAGTTTTCTTCTGAGGCGGGGCACAGTAAGCACTCATAAGATGTAGGAGCAATGTTTCGAATGAAGACGAGCGCGTAATTCAACAGCCTGATACAAGTTGGTAAAGAAATCTTATATACGTTTGATTGCAGCTTAATTGGTCGTTGCATTGCGATTGTTTTCATATATCAAATAAGTACCACTTTAAAACTCATAATTTCGCCAAAAATTCTTTCGACATTTTTTACCTAAAATTTTATATTATTAAAGTTAACTTATACTAGCTTCGTTCGTGAACATTCCACATTATTATAATAGAAAGTTATTATTCCCTAGGTCAGAAGTTATTGGAATAACATTTTCTGTGGATTTGAATTAATAACTGTCGTACGTACTGATCTATACGATGCACTATAGAGTTCACAAAATGTGTATAATAAAGTTTTTTATATTAATGCTTCAAGAAAATAATATTTACCAGCTTTAATATCAGAATCCTATAAATAATCATCGATTTTGAATACATCTGAAAACTGAGGACATCAAAACGACGAGCTGGCAATGACAAGGCATACTTTGCATTAGTGATACCTGCTATAAGACGCTGAAGTGCGAGACCGCACCGTACAATACAGACACGTTGAGCAAGTTTCAAGCAGGCCACTTCCTTCCAACAATAACAACACTAAACACAGTTAAGGCTTCTCTTACTATATGCAGGCTTCTCTTCTTATTTCCATCAACATAGAAGACGATCCAAGAAGATATATGAGAAGTAATATCGGTTTGAGAGAGGCCACCTGACCAATACATCACACTTGGCCTCCACTGACGTCACGTGCTGACGTGAAGGCAACTCTGCCGCGTGTGGTCTCGTGTACACGACCAAGTTCAAACTTCCACGGGACCTGAAACAGGAAGAAAACTTAATAAATTGCGGGCTAAATTAAGAGAACAATCAGCAGCATATCAAAGGCTCTTACGCTATGAATAAATTAAGATGGAAGAATATCATTCACACTCAATTTTACTCGGGATGTTTCACGACGTTAAAATTCTCAAGAATAAGAAATACGAATATCTTATTTATAAAATAAGAATTTTAACAATAAGTTTTGAAGACATTGCTAGTCCAAAGCGGTACTGTTCGAGTAAAATGTTGAAATATTTATACCGAACTTCTACCGTTTAATACAATTAATTAATTCTACCGTTGTGATGAGAAGTTTGCGACAGCCGCGCTACCGTTGAAAATATTCGAAGCTGCGCGAGTGAGAAAGGCAGGCCCCCAGTGTTTTGGCCATAAAAATACAGCTTCCCAAAACTTGTTTCATTACGAAACAGAACAGTATATAACGTATTCAAATGTAAATTTCTTAGCTTCAACATGCAGCTGCGGTTAAAACCGCTGAAACTCGTCGATGCAAAATAATTTTATTTGCCAATATTTTCGTCAAGTAATGAAACGATAAAACGCTTTATTTTGTTGAAACGAAAGAATTTCTGCATTAAATAGTTTATTCAATTACATTTATGAATTTTTCACGTCACTTTTTCTTGCACCGTTAATATTTTATCTGCAACTAAACAAAGCTGCTAATGCCGTGTAATAACTGATTTACCTATAAACATTTTCCCCGTGTTCATGTAAACATCGAATATATCCATCACGTGTAATCCTTCAGTTGAGCATCGCGCGAGACGAGGTTGAACCCTAAATTTCTCACCTACAAGATCACAAGATATCCACGCAGAAAATTATCGGGACGATAGTTTTTTACGTTTCAGTCGCAATATGTTGGTATAAATAGGCTCCCCATTGAAACATTTGAGCATCATAGCCTGGCTTAGCGGTTGGCAGATTGCGCTGAAGTTCTGCCGAAGCCAAAAGTAATATCGGAGCGGCCAAGATGCGTGTGATGCGAGCATGTGAGACGCGCCCTATAAATACCTCGTCGTAAGTCACGGCAACGCAAGCCCGAGTCTGAGTCTGCCAACGCCGACGCGAGGGCCGGAGACTGGCAGCGACCACGGCAGCGGTAAGCTCGTGGTAGACGTAACTTCGGGGTAGATGAGTAGACGTAACGTCGGGGTAGATGAGTAGACGTAACGTCGGGGTAGATGGAGTAGACGTAACGTCGGGTAGATGGAGTAGACGTAACCTCGAGGTAGATGGAGTAGACGTAACCTCGGGGTAGATGGAGTAGACGTAACCTCGGGGTAGATGGAGTAGACGTAACTTCGAGGTAGATGGAGTAGACGTAACGTCGGGGTAGATGGAGTAGACGTGACCTCGGGGTAGATGGAGTAGACGTAACCTCGGGGTGGATGGAGTAGACGTGACCTCGAGGTAGCCTCATCTGAGTCAAGTGGAGGCCGCTAGTGTGCACTACTTTACAGCCATGAGCGGGAGCTATGGTTGGTTGTCGGAATGAGGGTTGAGTTTATATATGTTCCGAAATTCTTATTCCTAACAATGAAAGTCGAATGTAGAAATATTTTTTCTATAAGGCTAAATTTTTAACGCAGCGCTCATAAAACGAATAATCATGAATTCCCAAATTTTCAAAAGTGAGAAAAATTTAGCAATAGAGTAAACATTGCAGTTAATTTTAAGGCACAATGCACTGGATCAAGACTTGTCTAAACATGAAAGTGTCCGCGACAAAAACGCGGGCCGGCCGCAAGATGAGCACGCTATGAGGGAGACGCTGATGTGACAGTTTTAGGTGTCCTGAGAGCTGAACACCTCTGCTTGTTTGCACAATAACTTTGTGTTCATGTATTGAAGGACGGAGAGCTTCGAAGGGAGTTTCAATTAGTCGTGGTATAATGTACGTCATAATGAAGATTATCTCAGCCTAGCGGAATATGATAAATCAATTGCACAAACTTGACCTTGGACACTGTCCCTGACAACTGTGTAAACCGTACGCTAGCCTGACAATACAACTAGCCAGCCTACATAATGGTTCTCGAAGCCTGTTTTAAAGTGCATTACTTATCGAGGTATGAACAACAAGTATTGTAATCAGTGTGACTAAATTAATTCAATAATATTATTGTGGAAATAGCTCTGCAATTGCACAAATGGACATGCGAGCAGCGAATAAAGCATGAATCTCGGCCGAAATCCAAGCAAAAATCTTGCACCGCGGCGCTCGCACTATTTTATTTAATTCAAGCAGAAAGCTATTACGGTCAGCGATGCAAGCTTCCTAAGAGGGCAGATTCACTTTAAAATGAGCTTACAAATGCAATGAGATCCTCGCCATCCTCACACTGGTCGGCCCAACGTTTCTGTAAAGGCGGAATAAAGCGCGGCATATGGAGGCTTACAGCAGCGTAATACGGGGCAAAGCGTCGCTCCATAGCGCAGTTCAGCGCAGAGCACAGCGCCATAGCGTAATCTGGAAGATCACGTCGCACCATAGCGCACAACACTGCGCCATAGTGTGATCCGGAAGTTCACGTCGCACCATGGCGCAGTTCAGCGCAGAGCACTGCGCCATAGCGTAATCTGGAAGATCACGCCGCGCCATAGCGCAGTCAAACGCAGGGCTTTGCGAATGGTGGACAACTCGCATGTCCGACGCCTGCAAGGCGCAGCATATAACGCAAGCATCGCCCTCATCATCCTCAATATATAGTGATGCTGGTAAACAAGCTGTCCGTTGGTCCCCCAAAACTAATTGTAATAATTAATGTTACGGTGCCATCATTCTATAAAATAAGAAACGCTGAGGCCGTCTAAAGGATTATTTTGTGCTTAGACAATTCGATGCCATGCGTTTAGTTCAGAATGTATTTACTCACAGCTAAACATGTGAACGAATAAAATAATTTGCCTAAGAATATCTACATTGCGACCTAAATTACACAACAGATGGTTTTATGATAGAAAAAATTGAATTTCATTACATAAAATGATTGCATTCATTTTTAACGCCTGCCTTGTCAAAATAAATCGGGTATTTGTTGACGTCAGCATTCGACTGCATGTCTATGTGCAAGCGGTTCATCAACTGAAATTTTTAATTCAGACAGTATCACATAAACAATTATTGTGTCGAAATTAGTTTTAATAGCATTCTAGGTAAATATCTCCAAAGTTAACCAGGATGGTCATAATGCTTAACATTTTAATGAAGCCGAAGAAAAGATAAGTACAGTATATGGCGTCAAGAGCCTCCGAATTTGCAAATGTCTTTTCCGAAAGCCCATATCCATAGAATTTATCGAGACGATGATCTCGCGTGTGGAGCTCTGGGAAAAGTTTAATTGCTTTCCAGAGAACTACTTCACTAGGAAACTTTGGTGCATAATACCTTATTGTCAGAGGAGGTATTTAGGATGCGATCGCTACACAGTATTTCGAAAAAGTTTTAATTAAATGAAAACTAATCAACCTACACTATACGCTTAAGTATTATTTAAATTATATATAAGACGATCTATGGCAGGTCATTATTCTGTATAAAAGCTATATTTATTACAACACTTCTCTTTAACTTCACTTCTTGTTTGTCTGTTTGTCTGTCTGCTACAAATCTTGTAATCGAAATTTAACACACTTCTACTTATCCTATCGATCTGAAATTTTGCATACATGTTTAAATTTGGAGACAATGTATGAATCAAATGTCAGAATAAAAGATTTTAAAAAGTAAAATTTTTTTTTCAATATTAAAAAAATTGAAAAAATAATTTTGTCAGCTACGAATCTTATAACTGATATTTGACACACTTTTACGTGTCTAATTGATCTGAAATTTTGCACACTTGTGTGAAATCAGAGCCAATGCATGAATCAATTAACAGAATAAATAATTTTGAAAAAAATTTATATATTGAAAAAAATTATATATATTAAAAAAATTGAGAAGTAAATTTTTTTAATTTTCGAAAATTAGACGAGAAATTCATTGTACATCTATAAGATTGGAGATACTGGATTCTTTGGAAGTGTTGTCTTTAAAAAGTAATTTTTAAACGTATATTATTTTTAATAGAAGTGCTGAGTCTTAAACGACGTTTGGTAATTGTCTTTTAAGATAGTGTAAATGCTTTTAATGAAATTTAAGGCTGTCTGATGCTGTCTATAAACAGACCATCGAGGCACCAACGATGCCGGTTCAAAACACGGACCTAAAATAATTTTTCCTAACGATAATGCTTGCGGTTGCCCGTGTTTGAAATTCATCCATTGCTCTGGTCATTTCTGAACAATGAACAGAATGTTAAAATAGCTATCTCGTCTGCCTGAGAGCAACCTTTATGAGGGGCTTTAAACCAGTTTCTATGATGCCAGCTACCAGCTTTAGAAGAGAAAATCTTGAAGATTTCTACTGTTTTGTTAGTCTTTAATGCTCCTTTGTGTTACCGACGGTTCAACACTTTGTTTGTATGACATCAGACCAGCATAATTTGTAGTTGAATGCGCGACAATATTTGATTTGCGAAGAATCCTCCGATTTACCCTCAAGTGCCCCAACCGGTAAAACATTAGGCCCAGCAAATTTAATTATTAGTATTTAATTATTTATAATGCAATAATATTACACCACGGTTTGATCACAAAAGTCAAATCCAGAATGATACATATTATTCAGATCGGGACTAATAATTTCTGACAGGAAAACTTGGAGTCACCAACTTTTAGAAATTCAATGAAAAATACTAATTCACTAAACACGATAAAAACATTCAAAATTACCTTCCTACAACAATAAATAAATTAATGACTGAATATAATAACAAGTGATCCTCATAAGTTTTCGAACAAGAACAATATCACAAAGATCCCTACATGAGAGCGCCGATCTTTTCATAAGAAAACGGAATAAAAAGTTTTCTGTTCGCCCACCTAACGAACAATCATTCGAGAATACCAAAAATATTTAGTCAC